AGAATCATGTGGTCTCGTCTCTGTGAGGTTTTACGCATGCTCTTCCAGCATTTTAACTTCCCTAAAGACAAAACTCCTTAACCACTAAGTGCCCGTCTAAAAACGGTCGTAGTGATGCTGGCAGGTACAGGTAGGCACGTCCCTGAGCAGCGGACAGGGAGGGGTTATCGCTGGGCCCTTCTGCTAACCCGTCCCTTGCTGGGCTGGTTAAGCTCCTTAAGTCAACTCACCAAAGGCAGGTGACCTGGGGAATGCGGAGGGTGGGGGGACCTGCCTTCCCGGTGGAAGGCTGGCTTGTGGGCGCCCGGAATCATGGCAAAGGGCAGTCACAGCCCCAGGGAACCCTCTCTAATCGTGGGCCTGCCCTGAGCCAGGTCCCAGCTGGCTGCTTCTGTGGGACCTGGCTGGATCCTCCCACCATCAGCATGCCCGGGGCCTTAGACCGTCTACATTCGGTTATCATTTTAGTGTTCATATTGTGAGAATGGCAATCTGCCTCCCCTCCCACCGACAGCACTGTGGGCTGATCAGATAAGTTACTGTGAGACAGGAGCCCCTGGCCTTGTCCTGCTGGGTCTTTGCGGTTTATAACTGAGCAGGAAGTGTGCATGACAAGCTTTGGCTTAAAGAACCTAATAACGCCAGAGAGTTGAATAAGTCGGTTTGGTGTCGGGTTTCCAAAAGCACAGAGTGCAGGGGCAGGACAGTGGTGCGCCGTGTTCTAACCTGTTGCGAATTCTGGAGTTGACCAAACCTCCCCGAGGACAAATCCTCAGGCATCCTCCCCGAAGCCGGGGAATCGGCCCGGTGAGCGGGGGCAACCGCTGGTTCCCGAGAGGAGAGTGTCCCTGCGCTTCGACCCTGGTGGGCGCGGGCGTGGAGGATGCCCATGACCTTCCCACAGGCTCAGTGACCTCACGACTCCTAAACCTTGAAGATCACTGAGTGGAGAGCCGTCACCGCCCGCCGCCCCTGCACCCGCACCGAGTTCTGCACGACGGTGTTTACTAACCCTTGAGCGGTTCAGAGCCGACCTCGCTCTGTGCTGGCGCCCAAGCTCTATGAGTAAAAAGCTTTGCTTATTAAGGCGTTAACTTGGAAAGACCTTCACTCTCCAGGGGGCAAAAGTGGGTCTTTACTGCTCCCCCCCGACCGGGGGAGTTTGAACCCGGTGAGAACCATGTCTGAAGGTGCTTCTGGAGCGTGCGACTATCCAGCAAGTCGTGTCCTCTGGCCCTTGGGCTGCTTGTGATTCCAGCAGAGCTGTTGACGGAGGAGTCCGAGACACGTGAGAAAGCATCGTCCACTGGAGAAGGCTTGCGGGCCACGCGACGTTTATCTTTCCTAAAAGGATAAAGGCTCCTGCGCTGTAGCACAAGTCTGCAATTTCCCTCTGGTCTTTTCGCTTTAAGCAACACGCACGAGCTCTCTCCAAGGGAAAGCCGCCCTCGGGCGGACTGGCTTTCGCCCTGTTCAGAACAGATGTGACGGAGGCCTGAAAACGCCCTTCCCCGTGGCCCTGCCTTCTAGGCGACCGGTCGGGAGACTGCTTGTTTGGCCTCACTCAGAGCAATCTCAGACAGGAGGTGGGGGCCCCTCAGTGGCAGAGCACGTGCTTAGCACGCTCAGGGCCCTGGGCTCAATCTCAGGCACCTCTGCTTAAAAAAAAGGGGGGGAGAAGGGGGTGATCGTGTTTCTTGCAAGGGCAGCTGTCAGCATTAAATTAGTGTGTGTGTATATATATACACGCACATAAGACGTATATAATACTATATATGTATATATATAGTATAATTTGGCATGCAAGAAGCACTCAGGAAATGGGAGCTCTTGTCTCTGCAGGCGGACATAGCCTCTAAACACATTAAAAAAAAGAAAAAACAAAAACCAATCTCAAACAAGACATTAAAAGGTTTTCAGAGCCTCTGCCAAGCACTTAGAAGTGATGGATTTGACGCAGCCGGCTGAGGGTCTCCTGGGTTCACCTTAAGCACCAGGGCCGAGGAGACGGTGTTCCTTCTGGTCAAAAACCGAGTGTGGCTTCAGAGGTTTTGTGGTCTGTTTTTTTAACGTGAGTCATAGAACTGGCTCTGAAGGCAGATTTCAAAAGAGACCTTGAGGAAGCATTTTGGGCTCTGGCTCCACTGGAAAAACTCCTAACCTTCTAAGGAGACCTCAGGAGGAAAACCTCGTCTGAAGCTACAAATCACAGCGCATCTGTGCGAAGCGGGCCTTCCTCAGCTGCCGGCATCTACTGTGTGAGCAGAAGACAGCGTGACGCCGTGGCTGGGAATGGGTTTTCAAACGTCGCACAGGCCGGATGACTTTGCAGAGTAAAGAATGAGTCACTTCCTGCGGCCCGCCCGCCCGTGTGTGCGCTGAGGGCGCTCTGAGCGCAGCTCTCGCTGACTCGTCCCTTAGTCACCGTCTTTATTGTAGGGGTCCAGGCTGTGCAGAGCCATCAGGTTGCTTCGGGAGGACATTTGACTTCTCAGAATAAGTGCTATGTTTTGTAGGACAGTTTTCCATGTTCTTCCTCTGGGGGCAAAGGGATTTGCAATTTTTTTTTAATCTGTATTTAAATTCTCAGAAATAAGGGAAAGGAGCTTTTCTCTTCCCGGTCTGGCGCGTGGGAAGCAGCAGATGGCCCGTGCTTCTTGGCTGAGGAGCAGGGGTCAGCTCACGTCGGTCCTGCCGTCTGTGCGGCCGAGCCGCCCCCGGCATCTCCCCCCGTCGCTACCTGGGTGTCCTCCTCGGAAGCGGCACGTGGGGGCCTGGCCAGTTTCTTCGTTTTTGCGTTCTGTTTTGTCAGAGCCTCAGAGTCGGCCGAGTTCTCCCCCCGGCTCTGCCCGCTCTTCTGGCCTGAGCGTGGTGATGTCTCGTTCTCGGAAGCACTCGGGCTTGGATGCTAAGACGCCACCCTTCCCTGTGGGGTGCACGTCGGCACGGGGGCCGAAGGCCTGAAACTTGGACGCAGGCGCAGGCTGCTCACCTGCTCTTTCTCGGCCTCCCGGGCTCCCTAGACGTGAACGTCCACAGCCCCGCCCACTGCGGTCCGTCCACCTGGACCTGCTGTGCAGGCGGGCGAGGCTTTCCCCAGACCCAGGAGCCTGGGGCTGGGGGTCAGCGAGGGGATGACCCTGACACGAGATTCACTCCCACATCGTCCATCTGTTGTCTCTCAGTTATCACCTACCGTCTGTCTGCCATCTGTCTGTCTACCTGTCTGTTTTTAATATTCTGTCGAAGCAACCCCTGGGGGGCACTTGGAAGAGGGGAGGGCATCTCTGCATTTGCTCCTGGAGCAGCAGGCTGTCTGCGGGGCGCGGCGCCTGTCTGAGGGCGCTTCCGTGCCGGGGCGCCACTGACATAGCGCCTCTGATAAGCTCCCCTTCCGGAGGGAGGCCTGCGTCACGTCACACTCGAGCTTGTCACCCTCACCCTCCACGGTGACAGCCACCCCGGGACCTGTCCTTTAAATAGAATAGGCTGAAAACATGTACCTTGTATGGTTTTCGGGAAGAAGGGAGATGGAGACAGAAAGGGAAAAGGGGTCCCTAGAGTTGGACCCAGGCGTGTCTGCAGCGAGCCCCACTGCTCCTCCGCGAAAGCATGGGTCCCGGGTGACAGCGGCCGGCAGCCCGCCGCCAGCTTCTCCCTGCTCTGGGTCATTCCCAGCTGTTTCCTGCGCCGTTGGTCACGTGCATAACACTGGACTCCACACACGCGCAAGGGCACTGATGTATTATGTGATGTGTATTCCTGTGCGGCACTGATGCATTATGTGATGCGTTACAGCGATGTGTGATGTGTGTGTGGTATCGGAACCGTACGTTATGTCTGTCAGTATATAAACACGTATGTGCGGGGGTGTGTCCTCGCGTGTCCTTTATGTGACGACTGGGGAGGGAGCGAGCAGGGACTCTGGTAGGACAGGGGGCGGCCGCGAGCAGGCTCCCCGTGTGTGATGTGTGAGGGTCTGCGCCGTATGCTACGTGTACGTTACACACGCACCATGTAAAGCGTGTGTATGATCCGGTGTTACGGTGTGACACACTAGTACACAATGTTATGTGTTGTATATAATACATTTGGATGGAAGTTTTACACTTATAAATAGACCAACTGACCCCCCCCCAAAGGTGTCCGCACTGTAGGTTAGTTTTTGCACAAGACTCTATGCTCAGTGGCTGATTTTTTTTAACCTATATTCCTTTTTTCTTTTTTAATTTCCTCTTGACCTTCAGTAACTAGGGGGAAGGAATCCACAACAATAATCTATTATGATAAACGTTTATAGATGGCGGGAGCCTATTCCCTTTCAGGGATAAACATCCTGGAAAGTGGGTCACGCAGACAGAGACGGGAACGAACGTGTCTGTAACTCTCGACGCTGTATGTCCTACGGGGAAATCAAGATGCACTTGGAGCTGAAAGGTGCTCGTCTTTGGGCTTCTGGGCAGACGTGCATCACTGTCCAGACTCCCTCAGGGCCCCCCTCCCCGCAGTGCAGTAAATAAAGTGTCACTGACGGGAAGGTGAGGGGGACTGACTGCTGGGGAGACACCCATATGTGCTTCTGAGCTCGCTCTCCTGAGTGTGAGCGGAGGTGCAGATCGCCTGGCAGACGGGGGCCCTCGCCGCGATGCTTTCCTGTACACGGGGCGATCGGCACCCCTGTTCTCAGCAGGCTTGTGTTGAATCACCAACAGTGTTGGGCAGATGTGCCCCTTTCTGTCTCCAGGAGCCCTCAGGCAGCAGGCAGACTCTCTGACTCCCCGCAGGACTCTGGGGGAGCCGGTAGAAATCCCCATCCAGTCTGAGGTGCCGGCACCATTTACTGCTCTGAAGGAGCGCTGGCGTCGCACCGTGCCTTCCAACCACTGGTCTCTTAGGAACTGGGGTTCATTGTCACTGGAGGCTCTGTTTTGCGGAGTTTGTGGATGTATGACTGTCACAGTGTGGTGACCCCGTCTTAAAAGCTGTCCTTCTCTCCCCAGGGCTACCAGGGCATGGTGGACGGCGGCAGCAACATCGTCGAGGCGGACTGGGAGAGCGTTTCCAGCATCCTGCAAGTGGTACGCATGGGGTTTCCGCACTCCCGGCCCGTCCCTCTGAGGAGCGCTCTCGTTGGAGGCTTTTGTGCTCGTGCCGCAGTAGTGCTTGGAAAAGCGCTGCCTGGCTGGCGTCTTTCTTACTTACTCACGTGGAAAAAAGCCTCCTGAATTTGCCATTGAATTAAAAATGTTAAAAAGCTTTGCACCAGGCACGCTGAGGAACTGTCCTTGCACTGAAATGTCACACACGAGAGCTGTGGTAACCGGGTACTGGCAGGGGCTCTGGCATTTTTTAGAGCAGATTCATGTAGGCGCAGCTTTTGTTTGTGGGTGCTGTGTGTTTAGTGGCAAGTCTCCACACCTGCTGGGTTTTAGGAGTCACTTCGCATCTGCACACGGAAGCCCGGGGAAGGTCCCGCCTAGCTGCCTCCCAGGGCTGGGGCTTCAGTGGAAACAGAATCCCTGTCCTGGCCTGACCCAGACAGGGCTGAGTCCTCCGTGTGCACGAGGATGAAGCAATTACCACCTAAGGGGAATTGTTGCTTCCCTGGGATTTAAAAGTGACCTGCCTGAGTATTTTATGCCTAATAAATTCCTAGAGCAATGTAGCTTACTGAAGCCTCCAAATCCTTTCAAACATAGATTATGTGGGCAGAATGGACTTCATGAAAAGCTCTTTATTTGAGGTTTGAGCTTTTGAAATGTACGGATCTGTGACTACTGCGTGTTTTTTTTTTTTAATTGAAGGAACCCAAACTGGTACCTTTCCTCTGAAGGTGCTGGTGCAACAAAGAAGGATGAAAAAACATGGTACATCAATATAAATGGAATATTATTCAGCCATAAAAAGGGGCCTTCTGCAATGTAGGACCACACTGAGGACATTATGTTAAATGAAATGTCAGACCCAGAAAGACAAACACTGCACGATCTCACTGAGAGATGGAATCTAAAAAAGCCAAACTCGCAGGAACAGTGTAGAATGGTGGTTGCCAGGGGCTGGACGTTTGCAGAAATGAGGAGATAATTGGTCAAAAGATACAGACTTCAAGTTACAAGATGAGTGAAGTTCTGGACTGAATGTGCAGCGTGATGACTGCTGTTAACAGTGCTGTGTTGCGGACCTGAGCGTTGCTCAGAGAGTAAATCTTAAGTGTTGCCACCACACACACGTGCATCACGTGCACACACACGGAAGCCCTGTGAGGTGGTGGAGGTGTTAATTAACTTGGTTCTGGTGATCACGTCACAGTGTGTACCAATATTAAGTCATCATGTTTATACCTTAAAAAATGTTAACCGTCCTGTCTTACACATTTGAAAGTTACCAAGAGAGCAGGTCTTAAAGCTCTCACCACACGAAGATAATTATGTGGATTGACTGAGGTACCAGCTAACTGCAGGGTGTAATCATTTCACAAGGTTACATGCAGCAAATCGCCGCAACGTGCACCTTCAGCTCACACAACATTATGAGTCGATTGTGTCAGTAAAGCTGGGGGCAGCACCCTGCGGGTGAGGTCACCGACTCACACGTCTGTCCTTGAACTTTTTGCTCTGTGACTCCTGGGAAGTCTGAAGGGAAGTTTGACAACCCTGGATACTTAGGGAGGGTGATATTTACAAGGACTCAAGACAGTATTATCTGAATTCCAGACAGCAAAGCCGTGTGCGAGGGGAGCACCTCTGTTCTGCTTTGGGCGGAAAGGTAGGAAGTACAGGTGTGGCCGAGTGTGTGTGAGTGTGTGAGTGCGTGCGCAGTGCCCACTGCTTTGCAACCCGGTCGGTCCTGGTTTCATTCCTGGGGCCCTGTCCACATTATCTCCCCTACGTGTATGGGTTGCTGACTTAACTTCCAGTTGTTAGAAATCACATGACCCTCTAATCGCTCTTGGTCAAATCAAAGTCCAGAGAACCGGCTTATCTGGGCTCTGCACCCTGCACCTGTCACCCAGGCTGGCCTCTGCTGCGCCAGGTCCCGGCGCTGCCCCGTCCTGCTGGCTGTCATCAGTCAACGTGACCCCAGAGAAGAAGCATCGGCACCTCGCTTTGGGAAGGGAGCGTGCCCTCCGAGTG